ACTTTCACTTTTATATTTCCATTTTATAGATATGTTCTTCATTTTTGGCTTCCTTTAACTGTATTCAATTTTATTTTTGTATATACATAAGTTTTTCTTTCTTTACAATTTTGGGTTTTAGGGTCTTCTAACAAACAGACCAAAATATATCCAGGACCAAGTGGATCACCCTGTTTTGTCGACCTGGGAGATTATAGTCTCTCTATTTTCTCTTTTTTTTTTTTTTTCTTTCCTTTTTTGGTTTCTGACCTACTAGGATTTGTCTAGTGTGTATTTCACTTGGAGAGTGGGTGATACTGTTGATTTTGTTCTCTCATTCATCCATTCTTCTCTGGACACAATGACTAGGAGGAGTTCACAACAAAAGAAAGAACCAGAGGTATTACTCTCTGGCAAGGATCTCATCAATATAGATATAAGCAAAATGTCAGAGCTGGAATTTAAGATAACAATTATTAAGTTTCTAGCTGGGCTTGAAAAAACCATAAAAGACTCTAGAGAATCTCGTAGTGCAGAAATAAAATCTAATCAGGCTGAAATTCAAAATTCTTTAACTGAGATGCAGTCCGAATGGATGCCCTAACAGCTAGGGTAAATGAGGCAGAAGAGAGAGTCAGTGACATAGAAGACAAGAAGATGGAAAGGAATGAAGCTGAGGAACAGAGAGAAAAACAACTAATGGACCATGAGGCAAGGCTTTGAGAAATCAGTGATACCATAAGGTGAAATGATATTAGAATTATTGGGGTCACAGAGGAAGAAGAAAGATACACAGAGAGAGAAAGCGGACAAAAGGTATATTTGAGCAAATCACACCTGAGAACTTCCTAATCTGGGGAAGGAAATAGGCATTCAAGTCCAAGAGGTAGAGAGAACCCCCTCAAAATCAATAAAAACATATCAATACCCTACATACCATAGTGAAGCTTGCAAATTTCAGACACAATGAGAAAACGCTGAAAGCAGCTTGCTACAAAATGTCCTTATGTACAGAGGTAGGAACATTAGGCTGGCAGCAGACATATCCAAAGAGACCTAGCAGGCCAGAAAGGGCTGGCATGACATATTCAGAGCACTAAGTAAGAAAAACATGCAGCCAAGAATACTTTATCCAGAAAGGCTGTCATTCAGAATAAAAGGAGAGATAAACAGCTTCCAGGACAAACAGAAACTAAAAGAATATGTGACTACTAAACCAGCCCTACAAGAAATATTAAAGGGGATCCCCTAAGCAAAGAGGAACAGAGACAATATACAGTAACACTTTACAGATAATACAATGGCACTAAATTCAGATCTTTCAATAGTTACTCTGAATGTAAATGGGCTAAAACAAAAGACACAGGGTATCAGATTGGATAAAAAAGCAAGTCTCAGCCATATGCTGTCTAAAAGAGACTCGTTTTAGACCTAAAGTCACCTCCAGATTGAAAGCGAGGGGATGGAGAACAATTTATCATGCCAGTGGAACACAAAAGAAAGCTGGGGGGGCAATCCTTATATCAAACAAATTAGATTTTAAACCAAAGACCATAGTAAGGGATGAAAAGGGACATTATATCATAATAAAAAGGTCTATCCAACAAGAAGATCTCACAATTATAGATATTTATGCTCCTAAACTGGGAGCAGCCAATTATGTAAACCAATAAAAAACAAAAAGAAACACATTGATAGTAATACAATAATAGTAGGGGATTTCAACACCCCACTCACAGCAATGGACAAGTCATCTAAGCAGATCAACAAGGAAACAAGGGCTTTGAATGACACACTGGACCAGATGGACTTCACAGATATACCCAGAGTGTTCCATCGTAAAGCAACAGAATACATATTCTTCTCAAGTGTACATGGAACATTCTCTAGAACAGACCACATATGGGGTCATAAATCAGGTCTCAACTGGTATAAAAAGATTGGGATTATTCCCTGCATATTTTCAGATCACAGTGCTTTGACACTTGAACAAAATCGCAAGAGTAAATTAGGAAGGATCACAAATACATGGAGGTTAAAGAGCATCCTACTAAAGAAAGAATGGGTCAACAAGGAAATGAAAGAAGAATTTAAAAGTTCAACATAGTACTAGAAGTCCTAGCAACAGCAAATCAGACAACAAAAAGAAATAAAATGTATTCAAATTGGCAAAGAAGTCAAACTCTCTCTTTTCACAGATGACATGATACTTTATGTGGAAAACCCAAAAGACTCCACCCCCAAATTGCTAGAACTCATACAGCAATTCAGTAATGTGACAGGATGTAAAATCAATGCACAAGAATCAGTTGCTTTCTTACACACTAACAATACAACTGTAAAAAGACAAATTAGAGAAACGATTCCATTTACAATAGCACCAAAAACCATAAGATACCTCGGAATAAACCTAACCAAAGAGGTAAAGGATCTATACTCTAGGAACTACAGAACACTCGTGAAAGAAATTGAAGAAGACACAAAAAGATGGAAAAATATTCCATGTTCATAGATCAGAATAAACATTGTTAAAATGTCTATGCTACCCAGAGCAATCTATACTTTCAATGCCATCCCGATCAAAATTCCAATGACATTTTTCAAAGTGCTGGAACAAACAATCCTAAAATTTATATGGAATCAGAAAAGACCCTGAATCACCAAGGAAATGTTGAAAAAGAAAAACAAAGCTGGGGCCACCACATTGCCCGATTTCAAGCTATATTACAAAGCAGTGATCATCAAAACAGCATGGTACTGGCACAAAACACACACACATAGTAGACCAATGGAATAGAATAGAAAGCCCAGATTTGGACCCTCAACTCTATGGTCAAATAATCTTCGAAAAAGCAGGAAAAAATATGCAATGGAAAAAAGACAGTCTCTTCAATAAATGGTGCTGGGAAAATTGGATAGCCACATGCAGAAGAAAGAAACTCGACCATTCTCCAATACCCTACACAAAGATAAACTCAAAATGGATGAAAGACCTCAATGTGAGACAAGAATCCATCAAAATCCAAGAGGAGAACATAGGCAGTAACCTCTTTGACATTGGCCACCTTTCAAGATACATCTCCAAAGCCTAGAGAAACAAAAGCAAAAATGAACTTTTGGGACTTCATCGAGATAAAAAGCTTCTGCACAGCAAAGGAAACAGTCAACAAAACAAAGAGGCAACCCACAGAATGGGAGAAGATATTTGCAAATGACACTACAGATAAAGGGCTGGTATCCAAGATCTATAAAGAACTTCTCAAACTCAACACCCAAAAAACAAATCATCAAGTCAAAAAGTGGGCAGAAGATATGAAAAGACCCTTCTCTGAAGAAGACATACAAATGGCCAACAGACACATGAAAAAATGTTCACCATCATTAGCCATCAGGGAAATTCAAATCAAAACCACATTGAGATATCACCTTACACCAGTTAGAATGGCAAAAATGGACAAAGCAAGAAACAACAAATGTTGGAAAAGTTGTGGAGAAAGGGGAACCCTCTTACACTGTTGGTGGGAATGCAAGTTGGTATAGCCACTTTGGAAAACAGTGTGGAGGTGCCTCAAAAATTTAAAAATAAAGCTACCCTATGACCCAGCAACTGCACGCCAGAGTATTTATCCCAAAGACACAGATGTAGTGAAAAGAAGGGCCATATGCACCCCAATGTTCACAGCAGCAATGTCTGCAATAGCCAAACTGTGGAAAGAGCCGAGATGCCCTTCAACAGATGAATGGATAAAGAAGATGTGGTCCATATATACAATGGAGTATTACTCAGCCCTCAGAAAGGATGAATATCCAATTTTACATCAACATGGATGGGACTGGAGGAGATTATGCTAAGTGAAATAAGTCAAGCAGAGAAAGTCAATTATCATATGGTTTCACTTATTTGTGGAACATAAGGAATAGCATGGAGGGCATTAGGAGAAGGAAGGGAAAAATGAAGGGGGGGTAATCAGAGGGGGAAATGAACCATGAGAGACTATGGACTCTGAGAAACAAACTGAGGGTTTTAGAGGGGAAGGGGGTGGGGGGATGGGTTAGCCCAGTGATGGTTATTAAGGAGAGCATGTACTGCATGGAGCACTGGGTTTTATACAAAGAAAACAATGAATCATGGAACACTACATTAAAACCTAATGATGTATTATATGGTGATTAACATAATAAAATAAAGTTTAAAAGAGAAAGAAAGAAAGAAAAGAAAAGAAAGAATGAAAGAAAAGCTCTCTTGATATAAAAAACTAATGATATACTGTATGGTGACTAACATAACATAATAAAATTGAATTAAATTTTTAAAAAAAGACTCTCAGGTGCCTGGGTGGCTCAGTCGTTAAGCGTCTGCCTTCGGCTAGGGTCGTGATCCCAGGGTCCTGGGATCGAGTCCCACATCGGGCTCCCTGCTCGGCAGGAAGCCCGCTTCTCCCTCTCCCACTCCCCCTGGTTGTGTTCCTGCTCTCGCTATCTCTCTGTCAAATAAATAAATAAAATCTTCAAAAAAAAAAAAAAAAGACTCTCAGAGTTAGATGAAAAGGACACAAGAGACAAAATAGAGCCACTCCCACCTGCCAAAGATGGAATTATTTGAACATCATAAATAATGACTGTAATTGATTAAGACTCCTTAAATATTTTTTTTAAAAATCCATGAGTTTGTATGGGCACCTGGTTGGTTCCATTGGTCCAGTGGCTGACTCTTGATTTTGGCTCAGGTCATGATCTCAGGGTCCTGGGATCAAGCCCTGCATCAGCTTTGTGCTCAGCAGGGAGTCTGCTTGAGGATTCTCTCTTCCTCTCCCTCTGCCCCTCGCATCTCCTCATGCTCTCTGTCTCTCCCTCTCTCCCAAATAGATAAATCTTTTTTAAAAATAAGTAAATAAATAAAAATAAAAATCCATGAGCTTGTAATGAGGTTCAAAAGGAGAAACCAAACCAAAAATGTTATTTATCAATTGTTGCACAAAAAGTTCCTCAAAATTTAGAATCAAACATTAAATATTTATTACCTCGCACAGTTTCTGCACATCAGGAATCTGAGAGCAGCTTAGCTGTTGGCTTTGAGCCTTTGAGCTGTGCTGTAGTCATCTGAAGTCTTGACTGGGGGCTGGAAGATGCACTTCCAAACTCACTCACATGGCTGTTGGCAGAGGGCTTCCATTCCTCACCACATGGGCCACTCCTCACAATGTGACAGCTGACCTCCCTCAGAGTGAATGATCTGAGAGGGAGGGAGAGAAAGAGAGACAAAGCTGGAAGCCACAGTCTCTTTTATAACTTAACATTAGAAGTAACATAACATCACTTCTGCCATATTCAACTGGTTACACACACCAGCTCTGGTATAATGTGAAAGGGAGCTACACATGGAATGAATCCTGGAAGGCAGGGCTCATTGATGGCCATTTCAAAGGATGGCCAACATATTGTTGGTCATGGCACCTAGGGCAAACAACTATTTACTTCTGAACACTGGCAATTAAATTGAAAAGTAAACATTTATTGTCTTTCCTGTATAAACTACATTTCAGGATAACCAAATAGCCCTAAATTTATGTGTTGATGAGAGAAAATCCTTTAAAAGAAATTCCTGTTCATCAATATGACAAAAATTATTGAATTAGAAAAATCACAATTTTGAAAACCCTATAAAATGGTTGATTTAGGTGAAGAACAGGAGGTGAAACCACCAAGTGAAAGGTTGATGGGGAACTTACCTGGAAAGATCCAGCTATCAAGTGTTGTACTCATAGATCAAACTTAGCATCACAAAGAGTGGAATCGTCAGACCTTATATGCCTCCTGATACAAAACAACAAGAAGTACATAGCACCACCTACGAATAATTCTCACCCATAAAGGTAAATCAAACTCGAATCAAACTTTTGGAGCTAACATCTAGTTAACAGGAAATACAAGGCTAGAGAAATAAATTAAATGAAGATACAAAGAGACAAAACCAGCATGTGAAAAATTCAGGACAAATGACCCAATTTGTTTAACTGGGGGAAGGAGGGTGAGTGAGAGATGGAAGGAGGAACTATTCTAGGCCTAAATTAAATGAAAATTTAAAGAAATAACCAAAAAAAAAAGCATGTAGACTTTGGATCTTGAGTCAGAAAAGCATGTTTTATGTTTTATAAACATACAAATTGAAGCCCCTTGCCAATCGACAGTTATGTTTTATATATTTGGTCAAGTTTAGTATGCACTCAATACTAGATGGTAACCAGGAATTATTTAAAATTTTTAGGTGGGACGATGGCACTGTGGTCCTGCTAGAAAATGTCCTTATTTTTTAAGAAATGCATTCTCGGGGGGGGGGAGGAAGATGGTGGAGGAGTAGGGGACCCTATTTCAACTGGTCCCCGGAATTGAGCTGGCTATCTACCAGACCACTCTGAGCACCCACGAAACCAGCCTGACATGTAAGAAGATCTGGATCTCTACAAACAGAATATCGTAGGCAGTTAGTTTTGAGGTACAAAGTGGGGAGCCGTGATTCCACGGGCAGATATCGGAGGATAAACGGCAGCGGGAGGGTGCCTGGCCGTGGGGATCCTACCCTGCCGGTGAGCTACAGCCTCGCGCCCTATGGACAGGCATAGACTCGCAGACCAGTAGCGGCAGGGAAAAGACTCCAGGGCACCCCTGGGGCCGGAACCCCGAGAGGCGGGGTCGCGCCTGCCAACTGCAGCCCCCGGGGCACAAACCCAGAGCGGCCGGGTTGCGTGGGGGAACTGGGAGCGGATGGCGGTTTTAGAAGCACAAAGGGCAGAGATGTGCCCCGACCTGGAGGCAGGACTGGGGGCGCTGCGGAGGGGTGCACGACCCAGGACGCTGCAGTTTATAGCAGCATGGACAGAAACGGAGACAGTGTGGTCTGGAGAGCTCACTGAAGAACTGACTGCGATCTCTCTGCTCTGAGGCAGAGGGTTGGAAACAGTCTCTTCGGCTCTGACTCGCGGAAGAGAAGCGGAAAGCCGCCAGGGAAAGGCGCCAGAGAACAAAAGCCCCAAAGACTGCTTCCCATTGAGCCCATCCCCCGCCACAGGGGGGCAGGGCAACTCCTCCCAAACAGAGTTGCCTGAGTAACAGCGCGGCAGGCCCCTCCTGCAGAAGACAGGCTGGGAAAACAAGAGGCCAGCAACCCTAAGGTCCCAAGAAAACAGGTGCATCTTGCTTGGGTTCTGGTCAATAATTTGGACTCTATACATTCCCTCAAACACCCATCAACAGAATAACTAGGAGGAGGAGCCCCAAAATAGAAAAGACTCAGAGATTATGACTTATGCTGCAGATTTACAAATGGATGCAGATATAACCAAGATGTCGGAGATGGAATTCAGGCTAGCAATTGTGAAGACAATGGCTAGAATGGAGAAATCAATTAATGGCAACATAGAGTCTCTAAGGGCAGAAATAAAAGGGGAATTGGCAGAACTTAAAAATGCTATCAATGAACTCCAACCCAATCTAGATAATCTAACAGCTAGGTAACTGAGGAAGAAGAGCGAATAAGCACCCTGGAAGACAATATAATATATAAAAAGGGAAAAGAGGAGGCCAGGGAAAAACAACTCAGAATCCATGAAAATAGAATCAGAGAAATAAGTGACACCATGAAGCGTTCCAATGTCAGACTAATTGGAATCCCGGAGGGAGTGGAGAGAGAGAGAGAACTAGAAGATGTATTTGAGCAAATCGTAGCTGAGAACGTCCCTAATCTGCGGAATGAAACAAACATTCGAGTCCTAGAGGCAGAGAGGACCCCTCCCAAGATCAAGGAAAACAGGCCAACACCCCGGCATGTAATAGTAAAACATGCAAATCTTAGAACCAAGGAAACCATCTTAAGGGCAGTTAGGGGGAAGAGATTCCTTACGTACAGAGGGAGGAACATCAGAATAACGTCACACCTATCCACAGAGACCTGGCAAGCCAGAAAGGCCTGGCAAGACATATTCAGGGTACTAAATGAGAAGTACATGCTGCCAAGGATACTTTATCCAGCAAGGCTTTCATTTAGAATGTATGGAGAGATGCAGACCTTCCACGACCGGCAGAAACTGAAAGAATATGTGACCACTAAGCCGGCCCTGCAAGAAATATTAAGCGGGGTTCTATAAAAGGAGAAAGACCCCAAGAGTGATCTACAACAGAAATTTACAGAGACAATCTATAAAAACAACGTCTTCACAGGCAACATGATGACAATTAATTCATATCTTTCAATAATCACTCTCAATGTGAATGGTCTAAACACTCCCATAAAACGGCACAGGGTTGCAGATTGGATAAAAAGACAGGACCCATCCATATGCTGTCTACAACAGACTCATTTTGAACCTAAAGGTACATCCAGACTGAAAGTGAAGGGATAGAGATCCATCTTCCATGCCAGCGGACCTCAAAAGAAAGCTGGGGTAGCAATTCTTATATCAGACAAATTAGATTTTAAACTAAAGTCTGTAATAAGAGACACAGAAGGACACTATATCACTCTTAAAGGGTCTATCCAACAAGAAGATCTAACAATTGTAAATATGCCCCCAACATGGGAGCAGCCATCTACATAAGCCAACTGTTAACCAAAATAAAGAGTCATATTGATAACAATACATTAATTGTAGGAGACCTCAATACTCCACTCTCAGCAATGGACAGATCATCTAAGCAGAAAATCAACAAGGAAACAAGAGCTTTGAATGATACACTGGACCAGATGGACCTCATAGATATTTACAGAACATTCCACCCTAAAACAACAGAATACTCATTCTTCTCGAGCGCACATGGAACTTTCTCCAGAATAGACCATATACTGGGTCACAAATCAGGTCTCAACCGATACCAAAAGATTGAGATTATTCCCTGCATATTCTCAGACCACAATGCTCTAAAACTGGAACTCAATCACAAGAAAAAATTTGGCAGAAATTCAAACACTTGGAAGCTAAAGACCACTCTGCTCAAGAATGTTTGGGTCAACCAGGAAATCAAAGAAGAACTTAAACAATTCATCGAAATCAATGAGTACGAAAACACATCGGTCCAAAACCTATGGGATACTGCAAAGGCGGTCCTAAGGGGGAAATACATAGCCATCCAAGCCTCACTCAAAAAAATAGAAAAATCCCGAATTCACCAACTAACTTTACACCTTAAAGAACTAGAGAAAAAGCAACAAATGATGCCTAAGCCATGCATTAGAAGAGAAATAATTAAGATTAGAGCAGAGACCAATGAATTAGAAACCAGAAACACAGTAGATCAGATCAACGAAACTAGAAGTTGGTTCTTTGAAAGAATTAATAAGATCGATAAACCACTGGCCAGACTTATCCAAAAGAAAAGAGAAAGGACCCAAATTAATAAAATTATGAATGAAAGGGGAGAGATCATGACTAACACCAAAGAAATAGAAACAATTATTGGAAATTATTATCAACAACTATATGCCAATAAACTGAGCAATCTGGATGAAATGGAGGCCTTCCTGGAAACCTATAAGCTGCCAAGACTGAAACAGGAAGAAATTGAAAACCTGAATAGGCCAATAACCAGAAACGACATTGAAGCAGTGACCAAAAACCTCCCCAAAAACAAGAGTCCAGGGCCTGATGGATTCCCTGGGGAATTCTACCAAACATTCAAAGAAGAAATAATACCTATTCTACTGAAGCTGTTTCAAAAAACAAACAGAAGGAAAACTTCCAAACTCATTCTATGAGGCCAGCATTACCTTAATCCCCAAACCAGGCAAAGACCCCCTCAAAAAGGAGAATTTCAGACTGATATCCCTGATGAATGTGGATTCTAAAATCCTCAACAAAATCCTAGCTAATAGGATCCAACAATACATTAAAAGGATCATCCACCACGACCAAGCGAGATTTATCCCCGGGATGCAAGGGTGGTTCAACATTCGCCAGTCAATCAATGTGATAGAACACATTAATAAGAGGAGGGAGAAGAACCATATGGTCCTCTCAATTGATGCAGAAAGAGCATTTGACAAAATACAACATCCTTTCCTGATTAAAACTCTCCAGAGTATAGGCATAGAGGGAACATTCCTCAAGTTCATAAAATCCATCTGTGAAAAATCCACAGCGAATATCATCCTCAATGGGGAAAAGCTGAGAGCCTTTCCCTTAAGATCAGGAACACGTCAAGGATGCCCACTCTCGCCACTATTGTTCAACATAGTACTAGAAGCCCTAGCAACAGCAATCAGACAACAATAAGAAATAAAACGTATTCAAATTGGCAAAGAAGAAGTTAAACTCTCTCTTTTCAGAGATGACATGATACTTTATGTGGAAAACCCAAAAGACTCCACCCCCAAATTACTAGAACTCATACAGCAATTCAGTAATGTGGCAGGATACAAAATCAATGCACAGAAATCAGTTGCTTTCTTATACACTAACAACGCAACTGTAGAAAGAGAAATTAGACAAACGATTCCATTTACAATAGCACCAAAAACCATAAGATACCTCGGAATAAACCTAACCAAAGAGGTAAAGGATCTATACTCTAAGAACTACAGAACACTCATGAAAGAAATTGAAGAAGACACAAAAAGATGGAAAAATATTCCATGCTCATGGATCAGAAGAATAAACATTGTTAAAATGTCTATGCTACCCAGAGCAATCTATACTTTCAATGCCATCCCGATCAAAATTCCAATGACATTTTTCAAAGTGCTAGTACAAAAAAATTCTAAAACTTGTATGGAATCAGAAAAGACCCCAAATCGTCAAGGAAATGTTGAAAAAGAAAAACAAAGCTGGAGGCATCATGTTGCCCGATTTCAAGCTATATTACAAAGCTGTGATCACCAAGACAGCATGGTACTGGCACAAAAACAGACATACAGACCAATGGAACAGAATAGAGAACCTAGGTATGGACCCTTAACTCTATGGTCAAATAATCTTAGACGAAGCAGGAAAAAATATACAATGGAAAAAAGACAGTCTCTTCAATAAATGGTGCTGGGAAAATCGGACAGCCACATGCAGAAGAAAGAAACTCGACCATTCTCTAACACCGTACACAAAGATAAACTCAAAGTGGATGAAAGACCTCAATGTGAGACAGGAATCCATCCAAATCCTAGAGGAGAACATAGGCAGTAACCTCTTTGACATCGCCCACAGCAACTTCTTTCAAGATACATCTCCAAAAGCTAGTGAAACAAAAGCAAAAATGAATTTTTGGGACTTCATCGAGATAAAAAGCTTCTGCACAGCAAAGGAAACAGTCAACAAAACAAAGAGGCAACCCACAGAATGGGAGAAGATATTTGCAAATGACACTACAGATAAAGGGCTGGTATCCAAGATCTATAAAGAACTTCTGAAACTCAACACCCAAAAAACAAATAATCAAATCAAAAAGTGGGCAGAAGAGATGAAAAGACACTCCTCTGAAGAAGACATACAAATGGCTAACAGACACATGAAAATATGTTCATCATCATTAGCCATCAGAGAAATTCAAATCAAAACCACATGGAGATACCACCTTACACCAGTTAGAATGGCAAAAATGGACAGGGAAAGAAACAACAAATGTTGGAGAGGTTGTGGAGAAAGGGGAACCCTCTTACACTGTTGGTGGGAATGCAAGTTGGTACAGCCGCTTTGGAAAACAGTGTGGAGGTGCCTCAAAAATTTAAAAATAGAGCTACCCTATGACCCAGTAATTGCACTCCTGGGTATTTACCCCAAAGACACAGATGTAGTGAAAAGAAGGGCCATATGCACCCCAATGTTCACAGCAGCAATGTCCACAATAGCCAAACTGTGGAAAGAGCCGAGATGCCCTTCAACAGATGAATGGATAAAGATGTGGTCCATATATACAGTGGAATATTACTCAGCCATCAGAAAAGATGAATACCCAACTTTTACATCAACATGGATGGGACTGGAGGAGATTATGCTGAGTGAAATGAGTCAAGCAGAGATAGTCAATTATCATATGGTTTCACTTATTTGTGGAACATAAGGAATAGCATGGAGGACATTAGGAGAAGGAAGGGAAAAATGAAGCGGGAGAAAATCGGAGGGGGAGATGAACCATGAGAGACTATGGACTCTGAGAAACAAACAGGGTTTTAGAGGGGAGGGGGTAGGGGGAGGGGTTAGCCCGGTGATGGGTATCAAGGAGGGCACGTACTGCATGGAGCACTGGGTGTTATACGAAAACAATGGATCATGGATCACTACATCAAAAACCAATGATGTACTGTATGGTGACTAACATAACATAATAAAGTTAAAACAAAAAAAAAAAGAAAAGAAAAGAAAGAAAGAAAGAAAGGCATTCTCAAAAACATAGTATTTAAGTAACATCTTTGGGTTTTGCTTTCAAACATTTCAGCAAGAAAAACGCGGTTGGCGGGGCCAGATGAAACAAGTGCGGCCGCGGTGAGCGTATGCGGGCTCCTTAGTCTTCTCTCAACTTTTGTGCAGGCTTCATTTTTTCATAAGGACTGTTTTAATGTTTGAAAAAAGAGCAGCCCATCATTTACCTTGTGTTTTTGGCTGATATTTAAAAGTGACTTTCGCCTATATCTCTGTCACAAAAGTCCCGCGCGCTCTGGCGAGGAGCCCCAGCCGAACCACAGCCGGTCGCTGTGCTGACGCACTCACGCTGCGACCCCCGCGCCCCGCGCGCCCTCGGGAACTCGCGCGAACTCCCTGGACGCCCGCGCGAGAGGCCCGGCGGAATTTCCGGGGACGTCCCGACCAGCGAGTGGCCGCGTTTCCTAGAAAGCCACCGGAAGTGGGTGGCGGAGGACTAGGAAGTGGAGCTGGCACAGATTTCCCGGTTGCTGGTCTCCTGGGGCGAGTGGGCGGGAAGGGCCGCGCCTCCGGGCCGCGCCTCCAGCCCGCGCGCGGTGGGAGCTCGGCCGCGGGCTCCCGCGCTACGGCCGGGTCGTCCAGGGTCGCGGCGGGAGGGGCGGGCTTCGCCGCCAGACGGGGCTCTCCCGCAGGTTCTGGCCCCCTGTTCCTACCCCGCATTTATTGTCCTCCCAGCGTCCGCGCACGCGGTCATTCCTTGAGCCGCTGGGGCAGCGCTGTTTTAGGCGTTGCAAGTACAGCTGCGAGCGCAGTGGCCAGAAATCCCTGCCCTCGGGAGCCCGCCCAGTGCAGTGAGGGAGAGACCGACCCTACATAACGACGCAGAACCGGTGACTTACCGGGCTGGGAAGTGGGCGGTGCTGCTGGAGAAAACAGAGGAAAGGTAACGCCAGGTAGGCGTCGGGATCGGAAGGAGCGAGCAGGTGGCAGCGTTCGTAGGGCGCCTAGAGCCGATCTTGGGAAGATGACAGACAAGCACACACTTGGAAGCGAGGTCGTGTGCCCTGAGAATTGCTGGCGGTGGAGGGACGGCCGGTGCAAAAGCCCTAAGGGGGGAGAGAAAGGTCTGTGTGAGTGAGCACGGTGGGACGAGGAGGAGCGCAGGAGGAGCGGCGCTCGGCGCGTCTGTAGACTTTATGCCACGTAAGACCAGCTTTTATTCTGAGTACGTGAGAGAGGTGGTCAGAAGGAACGGGCACGTGTGTCCGCCCTGTTCCGAGTAAGCTGGAGACGGGAGGTTGTAAGCAGAGATGAAATGACCCAGTTTAGGTTTCAAGCACACCACTCTGACCGCTGTATTGGTAAGAGGTGGAAGGGAAGGATAGACGCAGGGAGACCAGTTAGTAAGATTGGGGAGCAAGGCGCGCGATGGCGGCTTGGACCAGGATGGTAGCTGTGGAGGTCATATTCCAGATACGTAACATTTCCAGTTTGCCTTCCTGTGCTCCCTCTTTTCCCACAGATAATCCCCAGTGATTGCTTCTTTTTGCTGTGTTCATGGTCCTCTCTTCCCTTTTCATGGAATATTCAGGAAAACAAGGTGTGAGACCACAGCTAGCTCAATAGTGCTGATGAAGCCCAAATCCAGGGCATTGTGTGACACATCAGGCCAAACAGCAGCTGCCCTGTGGGTCATCAGGGGCGCTTTGGCTGGCATCCCCCAGGCCACTTCCAAATTTGTTGTCTGGGCAAAGCCAGAACTGACTCTGGGAGTTTGACCCAAGCAGCAGGGAAGAATCTGGACTGCGGTGGAAGACTAAAGAAAGCTGGGTAAAAAGATGTGGCAGGTAAGGAAAGGAGGGTCTGCAACGTGTCCCAAGGAGGAGGAAGAAGCGAGTACAAAAAAGGAAAGCAGTGGGGGCCATGGTGGAAGTTTCCTGCTTCAAAATATTATTTTTCCTGGATGGCTTCGTGACCATGAAAACTTTCCAGTGACAGAGAGGAAGACTTTTCTGTTTTTCTTTCTTTTTTTTTTTATTTATTTATTTATTCATGAGAGATAGAGAGAGAGGCAGAGGGAGAGAGAGGGAGAAGCAGGCTCCCCGCGGAGCAGGGGGCCTGATGTGGGACTCAATCCCAGGACTCTGGGATCATGACCTGAGCTGAAGGCAGACACTTAACCGACTGAGCCACCCAGGCGTCCCGACTTTTCTGTTTTTCATAAGGTGTATCGGACTGAGTCCCTGAATTTCTCTCCCCTCTTGGTATGTCTGGGAGTTGATTTCCACGGACAAAGCTTTATAGTTTATAGTTGTTTAGGGCTTGTTTTCCTCCTGTCCATAACCTCCCTGAGTTTTTCTGTGCCTCGTAATAGGCAGTGGTGTCACATGAGAGTCCAGGCCCACCACGCCAGCTGCCTGGGACCCCTGATGCTGAGCTCCTGCAGGAAAGAGGTGAGGCACATAGGGTATTGTGCCAAGAGGGGTGGAGGGAGGCAGGGAGGAGATGCTTCCTGGGGCTTGGGAAGCCCCTCATTATTGAGCATTTATTGGAAGACTATTCTAGGCTTGGATCAGTATTGAGAGGAACTAAATTATTCAGTTTCTGCCCTCATCTTACACCAAATTTGGAAAAAATAATCAGACTTATAAGAAAAAATTCTACAAAGCAACTTATCAAAGAAATTGCATTCCATCACGTATTATATGTACAACTTGACACGATAAATAACATATATGTGTACATAAAACCTGTGGTATCATTCAGTAACTCCTACCCCACCAGTTTTGCCAACATGTCCATGTTGAATGTATGTAATTTCACTTCTGTAGACCTTTCTGGAACCCTGAGATTTTAAAAGTATAAAATGAGTCCCTGAGAAACAGAAGATAAAACAGTGGCAAAGAAGGAGCAAAGGTTTTGTCGTGAAGCTTTGGGAAAAATAAAGATAGATGGAGGAATGTGAGGCTGGGCTTTAGAAGTGCTGAGTGATGACGTGTGTGAAGAGCAAAGTGGACAAGACTGGAGAAGTGGCGGGGCGCCTGGGTGGCTCAGTCATTAGGCATCTGTCTTCGGCTCAGGTCATGATCCCAGGGTCCTGGGGTCAAGCCCCGCATCGGGCTCCCTGCTCCGCGGGAAGCCTGCTTCTCCCTCTCCTACTCCCCCTGCTTGTGTTCCCTCTCTCGCTGTCTCTCTCAGTTGAAATAAATAAAATCTTTAAAAAAAGAAAAAGACTGGAGAAGTGGCTGATGGAGGTAAAACCCAGGACACAGCATTCAGCAGTTCCGTAGTTCCAAAGGCAGACCCTGAAAGGCAGACTTTTGGACAGAGGACTAGGCACCTGGGCACCCCAAAAGTAGACTTTTAGTATATATTATCTACAAAGAAGAAAAGAGTATATTATTGGAACTTCCAGAGGAGAAATCCTGAAATTTCAACTGTATAAGGAATCATAAATGAAAATTTTTTTTTTTTAAGATTTTTTTTTTTAATTTATTTATTTCAGACAGAGAGAATGAGAGAGAGAGAGCACATGAGAGGGGGGAGGGTCAGAGGCAGAAGCAGGCTCCCTGCCGAGCAGGGAGCCCGATGCGGGACTCGATCCAGGGACTCCAGGATCATGACCTGAGCCGAAGGCAGTCGCTTAACCAACTGAGCCACCCAGGCGCCCAGGAATCATAAATGAAAATTAATAATATAGAATATATTTGAGGTAGAAGATAATCGACACTGCTTAACTTGGGTGTTTAATTTCATTTTTTTAAATATAAAATTATACACACTCTTATGGTTCACATCTGACCTGCATCTCCTGGTCCTCTTTTTTCATAAGACCTTAAATTCTCTTCCCATTGGTGATTTTCAGGACCATAAAGTTCATAGTTACCTAACATATAAAGTTCATAGGTATCTGACATATAAATGAATGAACCTCATCCTAGATAATATCTGTACACTGCTTTAACAAACAGTTACTGGCTGAATGTTTGTGTCCCCTCAAAATTCACATGTTGAAGCCCTAACCCCCATTGTGGTGATATTTAGAGGTGGGGCCTTTGGGAAGTAATTTGGTTTAGAGAAAGACATAAGGGTGGGGCCACGTGAAGAGATTCGTGTCCTTATTAGAGCTGTCTGCATCCCCCACATGAGGATAGGATGGCAAGCCGGGCAGGGCTCATGCCAGAACCTGGATCTCCAACTTCCAGCCTCCAGAACCATGAGAAGTAGGTTTCCAGCGTGTGAGCCAGCCAGGCCGTGGTATTTTGTTATGGCAGCCTGAGTTGGCAAAGGTAGTTTCGTGCCGTTTGAGTACATAGCCTGTCTCCCAAGTTCATGTTTTTTGTTGTTGTTGTTTTTTAAGATTTTATTTATTTGACAGAGAGAGAGACAGCGAGAGAGGGAACACAAGCAGGGGGAGTGGGAGAGGGAGAAGCAGGGGGAGCGGGAGAGGGAGAAGCAGGGGGAGCGGGAGAGGGAGAAGCAGGGGGAGCAGGAGAGGGAGAAGCAGGGGGAGCGGGAGAGGGAGAAGCAGGCTTCCCGCTGAGCAGGGAGCCCGATGTGGGGCTCGATCCCAGGACCCTGAGATCATGACCCGAGCCGAAGGCAGACGCTCAACGACTGAGCCATCCAGGCGCCCCTCCCAAGTTCATGTTTAACTTGAGGGCAGAAACTGACCTTTCAAAATCTGAAGCTAAAAACTAAAGCCTAAGAACCACTGTGGTGACCAGGGATTGAGGAGGGAGAAATAGCAAGTTGTGTAATGGGTATAGAGTTTCAGTTTTGCAGGATGAAAAAGCTCTGGAGATTACACAACACTGTGAGTATTTTTAACACTGCTGAACTGTGCACTTAAAAACGGTTAAGACGGTAAATTTTGTTACGTATTTTTTTCCACAATTCAAAAAAATTCTTAGTGTGATGAGCACTTTTTAAAAAAAAGAAGAACCGCTGTGAGTTAACAAAACTTTCCCAGTCTGTGAAGAGGGTATAGTAAAAATCCAACTGGGATATATCTGGAGGGGAGTTTGGGTTAAATAGGGGTATGTTTTGTCAAAACTCACCCAATAGTACACTTAAGACTTGTTTATTTTACTGTAGTAAATTTTACCTCAACAAGAACGTAAACAAATACTGAACTCTAGTTCATGATATGGACCATAAGGTGTTTTGGGGTGCAGTATGCTGATATCTTCGATTACTTTGAAATGCAGCAAAAAATAAAGTGAATTAATAGAGGGCTAGTTAGATGGACAGATACGCGATAGAGCACATATTATGAACGTTAAAGTGAGTATGTGGATGTTTACTAAACCTTTCAGCTTTTCTCTATATTTGAAAACGTTCATGATAAAGTGTGGATTGGGAAAAAAAAAAAAAAAAACAGTTGGGAGGTTTATGTTTTTGACATCACAAGGAGCAGAGCAGACCGAGCATCTGCTGTGAGCTGTGTGCAGGCCAGGTGGCTGTGGGACTGTGTGCGACAAAGAATTACCGAGCACGTGGGCTTGTAGAGTGAGACGCGGGGTGACAGAGTGGGGCCCATGAGGACTAAAACACAGTCCGGGTCTTGGTCAAAAGCCAAGAGTAGCCTAAACCGAAGAAGAATCGTGGGGAGTTTCTCTGGGAAGAAACCAGTCTGCTCCTAAATTGAAGTTTCGGCGAAATTGGAATGAAATTTTGGGGACCTGAGGCCACAGGGTAATCCTTGGGTCTTACCAACTGGTGACTAACCCCACTGGTATCTTCTGAAAGAAACTGTTCAGACTCTGATTTGGAATGTGCTGATGAACTTTCTAGAAAGGTTAGTTGCCGCAAACACTGCAGCTGGAGGAAGGTTGGGCGGGCCCACTAGGAAGGACTTAGGGCCGCGTTGACTAGCAGTGTGTGCTCTACTACCCAGGTGTGGGGAGGGTGGTTTAGGGCTCGGGAATTAATAGGAGAAACTCAGAATCACAGGGGGAAGGTGGTGGTTCTCTAAGAAGAACAGGAAAGAAAATTTTCCAAGAAACTAACTGGGGGCAGAGCAGCCACGAAGTTACCGAAAGGAGCAAGCTTTGGGCCTGTCCCTGCATATTTCTATTCCTCACTTTCATCCTTTCTGTTCGCCCCACCCCACCCCTTCAACCCGTTCAAATACTGGAGGAGAGGTTATCCCACAAGCCAGGAGTCAGTGATGTGGGCTTGGGGCGGGGAGGGGTGAAGTCATTCTAGGATGAAGAGAGACCAGAGGAGAAAACACGTCGTAGGTGAGGGAGAGAGCACTGGCCATCCGCGCGACCTTGTGCCGAACCCGAGGCTGGAGAAATAATGGGGAAGACGGAGCTTGAGAAGCTTCTATACCGGGGAAAAGAGGAAAGCGGAAGGTTTCGGTAATACTGTACCAAATTGACCCGCCTCGTTTCTCTCAGCTCTGCCAACCCCTCAGCATCCTGCCTTTGGCAGAGAGGGAAGCCAAGGAGACCAGCCCGGAGCAAAGAGCACACCGATGAGCCAGGCCCGGGTAAGCTGCGGCCCCTCCATCCTTCCCGGAAATACAGCACCGCCTCCTTCCACTCATTCCCTGACTCAGCCCCCAAATGCAGGTGCTCCCTCTCGAGGAACATTCCACTGGATGACACGCCATTCATTCCTTGTTCCCTCTGCCATGGGTGTTCACTTCCTTTCACCTCAACCCAAATACACAAAACACAGTAACCACCTCGTTTCTATAAACCTTCTCCCAAAGGGGGAGGGCCCCATGGGGTTTTCTCCAGGACAGCGGGACTGCACTGTTTCAGGACTCGGTGACGTTTGAGGACGTGGCCGTGCACTTCAGTAGTGGAGAGTGGCAGTGTCTGACCCGCGCTCAGCGGCACCTCTATGCAGACGTCATGTTGGAGAACTACGGGAACGTGATCTCGGTCGGTAAGGACGTCCCTGCACTTGGCTCAGTACTGTTTGCTTTTCCTTTCAGTTGCGTTGTTTACTGATGTATGTGGGGCCTCATATTCTTGCCTCTGTTATATGGCAAGATCATTGAAAGAGCAGCGACCGTCCCCCCAGGGTCTCCTCCTCTGCCTTTTGAGTAGGACTCTTCTGCGAATATCCGTACACGTTTTCATGTGACCAGACCCCTGAACAAACCCTCTCTCTACCCCAGTGGCCATTTCTTTCTTGTTGCCCTACGTGGACAGAGGGGTCAAGGCTGGGTATTAGGACCCTTGTCATGTTGCTCTGCACACTCGTATTCCTTCTCCACGACCAGGCTTTGCGGTCCCTAAGCCTCCTCTGATCTCCCATCTGGAGCAAGGGAACGAGCCCTGCGTTCAGGATCTGCAGGACGGGGGGTTCCTGAGCTGCTCCTTCCCAGGTGAGTGATGGAGGCGCTCCAGCCTCCTGCTGGGTGCCCTGTGGCAGGTGTTTGTAGAACGTTCTTAGTGCCGGGTCATCCGTCCTCACCCGCCCGGGCACCCTAACAAAGAGAAAACAAACAGCAGCAAACTCTTTGGGCAAATATTCTGTCATGATCTGATTGCTTCTTTGCACCCTATCTAATAGGCCCTTTGCAATTCGGTCCTCAGAGAAAGCTCAGTGAGTTCACCTCCCTTCTGTGTATCAGTTCCTCCAGTGCTCAGAGAACCCTGCTTTTCTGCCCCTAGTTTTCGTTCAGGACCTTCCCCACACTGAGCCCCGGGCCTCTGACCCTTGCCTTTCTCTGCTTTCCCTCACGGCGTCAGCTCGGCGGCAGGGGCTGGCTGCATGGACATGGCTCCCTTCTCCCCTTTCCTGGGCAGCACTCTTGTTCCTAACTCCCGGCTTGCTGGGTAGCCCGTCGTCTGCTGGAGAGCGGCATGCCTGAAGGCAAACTCGCCTGCCCGCAGCCCGTCTCCACCGAGCCCTCCCTGTTTCTGTACCCGGGTCCACCTCTCTCTCACGTTGCCTCTCACACTCCCTGACCCACGTTCCTGGTCAGTCGTGAATCAGTACCAGCTCCTCATTCAAACTGTTTTCTCCATCCGTCCTTCAAAAAAGTGTCCCTTATCTGTAGGCCAGCCCAGCTGCCCTATCACAATACCTACTCTTCCTTCCTCCTCCCTCCTGCCCTCCAACAAACATTTATTGAGCAATTGCACACCAGCCACTCGACAAGGTACTGAGATGGCATCAAATATTATTGCCTAGCAGGGAAGGCAGGTAGTGAGGGGTGGCACGGAATAGCGGGAGTCACAGATACGTACCTGGGATACACAGACACGGAAGAGAAGCATCTGAATCTGAGTTGGGGACCAGGTGGCTGTGGAAGGAATGACCATGAACTAAGCGGTGGCGTAAGTCAGATGGTTTAGTGGGAGGAGGGAAGAGGCATTCTGAGAACGTGGGGAAGTGCTGAGGAGGAAAAGCATGAAGTGTGCGCAGCGTGGCCGGAGCAAAGGGCTCCAGGCGGCCGGTGTGGGAGCAGCAAGGAGCAAGGCCACGATTCAGAGGGGTTTTGATAAACTGCAGACTTTGAACTTTATTCTGACAGTAGGAGTGACATTGATGAAGCATTCACGTCCGTGTGGCAAGTGCTTTACCCACCTTAGCATATGTAAAATGATCCCATCTTACAGATGAGCAACTGAGGCCAGGGAGATGCAGCCAACCCCGCGGGCTGCACAGCCAGTAGGAGTCAGCGTGAGGATTTCAGCCCAGATGGTCCCACTGCAGACCTGCGGCTCTGACCTGCACGCTTTACCTCCTTTCCGTCTGGTTAACCACGCAGTGCCACTGAGACCTTTCAAGCTGAGGAGTGGCATGATTAGATTTGATTTTTAGAAAGAAAAATCTGGAAGCAGAGTAGAGCACAGATTCGAGGGGAGGCAGACTAAAGGACAGTAGGGGGTGGGGGGCAGTTAATGAGCAAGAATGCCCTGGCAGGAGAAAGAGAGAGGAAGGGGTGAGCTGAGATACAGAGAAGACTTATTAGAGCTCTGGTTGCCAGCAGTAGAAATTAACTCAAACTAACAGGCAAAACAATGAGAATTTATTATTCAGGGGTGTCATGGAAGCTAAGAGCAGGGGGACATCAGGGCCCTCACCCCACCGTCCCCTCTGCAGGTCTGCTTCCCTCCGTGCTGGCTGACTGCCCCGCTCTGCTCGCTGCCGATGGCAGGATGCTCCCTCCCCTGGGCGGTACACCCTCCCCCCAGCACTGGCTGTTGTCAGAGCCTGAGTCAGAGTCCAAGGAGAGAGAACCTGGCCTGGTCTGGGTGAGGGGGGCCAGATGGGATGTGCCCTGCACCCAGGTGGGCAGAGCTGCACTGCAGAGCAGATGGGTCCCTGGGGGTTAGACTGCAGTCCATGTCTCAGGTGGAATTGTAAAATGTCAGCTGAGCAAATCTGAAGGACAGAGAGGGTTGGATGTGACTCAGTTTCCTGACCGAGGTGCCTGGGCGTACCGTGAGATTCTCGAGAACAAGTAGGTTTCTAAGGATTTTTGTAAAGTTTACAGAGTCTGAGCTGTCTTGGTACTTCTCCTTATACCAACCTGTCGCAGCCTTTGGCCATAACCGTAGCTCTCTTCCAGCCTGGGAAAGTCACGTACCCTTCATAGGGCTTCACCCGTTCACCTCTCCCATCTCCCGTGTTTCACGACCCCTGAACATGTGACATTTTTATTTCCTTAAGTATCAGTGGACAGGACCTGGCCGGGGACTGAGAAGGCAAGTTCAGAACAGGAGGTGTTTGAGAGCGGGGAAGTCTGCTGGGTCCACGTCAAAAGTCTCCTGAAAGTCCTGTCCCACGATCCTGAGGCTGGAGGAGCTCGTGCCCAGGATGTCAAGTTAGGGAATCCACGGGACGCGCCCGGGATGGAGACGCTGGGAGGGGAGCAGGTGACCTGCAACGAAGGAAAGGCCCCAGAGGTCCTCAGAAAAAACTTCAATCCAGGCGCGAAGCGTATTCCGTATACCGGAGTCCTTCCAGAACGGAAACCGCACAGCGGGGCCGAACGTGGCAAGAGCTTCAGTTGGCATGCGGACCTGCTTCTGCACGAGCGCGTGCGTGCTGGCGAGCAGCCCCGTGTGTGCCTCGAGTGCGGGAAAGCGTTCAAGACCAGCAGCCAGCTTTCGGTGCACCGCATCAGCCACACGGGGGAGAAGCCCTTCCGCTGCGCGCAGTGCGGGAAGGCCTTCGGCAGCCCGTCCGCGCTCTGCCGCCACAGGAAGGCGCACGGCGGGGAGAAGCCGCACGGCTGCGGCGCGTGCGGGAAGGCCTTCGAGAGCAGGAGCCGGCTCCGTCTGCACCAGCTGGTCCACAGCGGGGAGAGGCCGCACGAGTGCGCCGTCTGCGGGAAGGCCTTCCCGCTCAAGCATTGCCTCACGCTGCACAGCCGCACGCACAGCGGGGAGCGGCCCTACGCGTGCGGGGAGTGCGGCAGGGCCTTCCGCGGGAGCTCGGACCTCCGCAAGCACGCGAGGACGCACAGCGGCGAGCGGCCGTACGCGTGCGGGGAGTGCGGCAGGGCCTTCAGCCGCAGCTCGGACCTGCGCAAGCACGCGCGGGCGCACGCGCGGGCGCGAGGCGGGGGCTGCCCGCAGTGCGGCCAAGCCTTCGGCAGCCGGGCGGAGCTCAGCCGGCACCGCAGGACGCACGCGCCCGAGAAGCCCTACGCGTGCGGCGAGTGCGGGCGCGCCTTCCGGCACCAGTGCAAGCGCCGGGCGCACGAGCGCGCGCACCGCGGGGAGAGGCCGCACCCGTGCGCGCACTGCGGGAAGACCTTCCAGGACCGGCACTGCCTCGCCGTCCACCAGCGCGTGCACACGGGCGAGAAGCCGTTCGCCTGCGCGCAGTGTGGGAGAGCCTTCCGCGGGAAGTCCAACCTGACCAACCACCAGAGAATCCACACCGGCGAGAAGCCGTACGCGTGCGAGGCGTGCGGGAAGGCCTTTCATCACAGCTCGGGCCTGACGCAGCACAGACGCATCCACAGCGGGGAGAAGCCCTACAGCTGCGGCGAGTGCGGCACGTCCTTCCGCCAGCGCGCAGCTCTCGTCGGGCACCGGCGGGTTCACACGGGGGAGAAACCCTACGAGTGTGAGCAGTGTGGAAAAGCTTTCAGAGTGAGCGCAAACCTCACGGGACATAAGAAAAGAAGACACAGAGGATGGAGAGCCCACGCGCGTGATGAGGGTGGGAAGGCCCTCTCCCCAGGACCTGTCCGACCTTCCCAGTAGTCGCTGTTTGACCGGCAACCCCTGGGGAAGCCGTTCTGTGTTTGCACTTTCCCGTTTCTCCTTCTGCTCCGGAGCCTGGTTCTTCGCGGCTTGCTGGCCCCCGACCGAGCTCCCCAGAGCCTGACCATGACCTACCTGACCTTGTAGCGGGCACGTTCGCTTCCAATCAGGAATGCCAGTCAGTAATAATAATATCGAATACTTCTTAGTGCTTGCCGCATGCCGGCCACTCTTCTAACGACTTCGTTATTTTAATTCATTTAATCCATAAAACATCCCTACAGGATGAGGAAATTAAGGCATAAAAAGATGAAACGTGCTGAGGATCACTTAGCTAGTAAGTTCTGCAGAAATACCCCCAGAGGCTCAGGCCTGCACCTTTCCCATAGCCTGCAACACATCCCTTAGATGTGAGGCCACAACTCAGTTCAGCACCGAGCATGTTTTAGTTGATAAAATACTGATCATGTTTAGCAAGGTTTTTGTTTTGTTTTAACTTAAAGACTGAATGGAACTTTTCCATGTGGGATCGGGATTTCTGAGATCGGGATGGGAAAGGAAGGCTTAGTGGAGAGTCTGCTGGAGAATCTCTCTCTCCCTCCTCTCCCTCCTCCCCTCCTCTCCCTCTTCTCTCTCTCCTCTCTCTCCCTCTCTAAAAAAAAAAAAAATTTAATCCTAGAAGAAGATGCAAATGTGTCAACCTAATTAACATAATGACCATAATTGAGAATTAAATTTAGTTCTAAGTTCCTTGGTTGGTAAAAAAAAAAAAAAGAGAGAGAGAGAGATGAGCAATGGGTTATCCCAACATTTCTCAAAGGTGTTTTACAAGTTAAGGCTTTTAAAATAATGACTTTAGGAAATGTTAGCTAGGTGGGTTTTTTAAATTCCCTTAAAGACTTATCAGTTTATAATACGCTAATCTAAATCTTAAAGGAGCAATAAAAACATTGCTTTCCAAAAGTAATTGACGACACAATCCTGTTTGAAGCCTCTTCAGGGCTCTTGTTTCAGAAGAAAAAACCTTTTGGGAAATGGTTATACATTATCTAATACAGAAAAACAAGGTGTCCAAGAGATGCGATTTTCTAGTAAAATTCCAGAGGGGATTACATGGTTTCTTATTTTTAAACAAGGGTGGACTGAAACATCGTTCCTTAGGTTCAATTTCTACAGGGAACTTTACATTCTTTATGTGGCCGTTTCCTGCACTGTTTGTGAAAGCCAAGATGAAAACGTTGAAGACATAACAATGAAATTGCCTCTGTGGAGGACGAAATTATGGATATGTGGCTTTCTGGTGAGGAAAAAAAATGACATAAGGACAGTTCAGGATACGTCTGGAGAATTGGCAGTGGTTTTCCAATGCACACACAGCAATAGTTGTACTTTATTATTTTTTTTAAAGATTTTATTTTTTATTTATTTGACAGAGAGAGACACAGCGAGAGAGGGAACACAAGCAGGGGGAGTGGGAGAGGGAGAAGCAGGCTTCCCGCAGAGCAGGGGACCTGATGTGGGGCTCGATCCCAAGACCTTGGGATCATGACCTGAGCCAAAAGCAGACGCTTAACAACTGAGCCAGCCAGGCACCCCAATAGTTGTACTTTAATGCTCGACAAAATACTGTCATACTGTCCTAGAAAATCTGAGGTTTTGTATTTCACAACAGCATGTATAAGCTTTTAGAAAATGTATGTACATGTTCAGAACGTCTGTTTCACCCACAGACTATGGGGTGCTTTCAGACTTTAGACTCAAAGTCAGGGCGCCTGGGTGGCTCAGTTGGTTAAGCGACTGCCTTCGGCTCAGGTCATGATCCTGGAGTCCCGGGATCGAGTCCCACATCAGGCTCCCTGCTCAGCAGGGAGTCTGCTTCTCCCCCTGACCCTCGTCCCTCTCATGCTCTCTGTCTCTCATTGTCTCTCTCGCAAATAAATAAAATCTTAAAAAAAAAAAAAAAAAAATTTTAGACTCAAAGTCATCCCAGCTTGAAAATGCAGCAAGATGGCAGTTCCAGTTTAAATTCTTGACCATCCTCAAGTGTGGATGTGTTGTGTTGTTGACTGGAGAGCTTACATCTTCAGACACCAGTTAACTGGAGGGGGTAGCGGGCCCGACATTCTGTTGTGAAACTTTAAAGACCTCTGTATGGAGCTCAAATACGAGCCTTCTAGACACCACCCTCACCTGTCCATCTTCCACACGACCACTGTCTTCCTAGAACACCGCTGTGATCCAGACACCTGGTCTAAAGACTGCCAACAGACTCTCAGTCCTGCAGTAAGAAACCCCAGAGGACTAGCTTGACCTCCAGGAATCTTCGGATGTTTCCTGAACATCTAAAATGAGTGTTGTGCGATAGAGAACAGACTGGGGGTTGATGGAGGGAGGGGGGTAGGGGATGGGCTGGATAGGGGATGGGCAATAAGGAGAGCACCTGTTGTGATGAGTACTGGTGTTGTATGTAAGTGATGGATCACTGAATTCTCCTGAAACTAAGAGTTCACTGTGTGTTGACTAACTGGAATTTAAATAATAAATTAATAAATAAATAATAAAATGAGCGTTGGGGGGGGAAACACTGAAGAAAGTTCAGATATTTTACCTGTGGGAAAAGTCTGTACATTTATTTTTTTTTTTAAAGATTTTATTTATTTGACAGAGAGAGACACAGCGAGAGAGGGAACACAAGCAGGGGGAGTGGGAGAGGGAGAAGCAGGTTTCCCGCTGAGCGGGGAGCCCAATGTGGGGCCCGATCCCAGGACCCTGGAATCATGACCTGAGCTGAAGGCAGACGCTTAACGACTGAGCCACCCAGGCGCCCAAAAGTTTGTACATTTATTTTTTTTTTAATTTTTATTTATTTATTTGACAGAGAGAGACATAGCGAGAGCAGGAACACAAGCAGGGGGAGTGGGAGAGGGAGAAGCAGCCTTCCCCACGGTGCAGGGAGCCCGATGTGGGGCTCGATCCCAGGACCCCGGGATCATGACCTGAGCCGAAGGCAGACGCTTAACGACTGAGCCACCCAGGCGCCCAAGTTTGTACATTTAAAAGGGGTCCTAAACTGGAATAAACTCTGCCATAAGGTAGTAAATTTGGCAGGAATACTGTACAAGGGGTTCAAAGATGAGATGCATAGTTGAATAATAAAACATATTAGTACTTGTGAAAACCCTAAGATTTCTGTAACTAATTCTGAAGAGTTACCAAAACTAGAGTTACTGATTTAGTCACAGTTTACTTAGAAACTCACCAGGTAACAACACAGTTCTTTAACCTAATTACCCTAATGCAAAATCTGAGAAAAAAGTCACTCGGAACATGGATACAGTGAGATTTTCACTTTACCTTCACAACGGAAGTAGAGAATGCCCACATCACTCCGTTTTAAAAGGCGGAACAAGATGCAGGTTTCAGATTTTGGACCATCCGTGAACAGAGGTGTGTCTCCGTAGCTTCTACACACGGGTGCAGTTGGTGCCCTGTGATCATCACAGAGCAAGTTTCAGCCCCTGCGCACAAGACAGTCTTCCAAAATTTTCAAGGCAAATCAAGCACTTCTTTTTCCACAAGGCAGAATACCTGAAATTCCTTCAGTGCTTCCTCACGGTTTACTTTAAAATGTTCCGGAGACATCCGAGGATTCCTGGAGGTCAAGCTCGTCCTCTGGGGTTTCTTAACGCAGGGCTGAGAGTCCGTTGGCAGTCTCTAGACCAGGTGTCTCGGTCACAGCGGTGTTCTAGGAAGACTGGAGTGAAAATGCCTTTTCGCCTGGTAGAGTGAAGTCCTGTTTCTCTTCCTCAAGACCGACGTGACCGTTCTTGGTCCAGGCTGTATTTGTTCATGCGCGGGAAGACTCAGCGTTGCGAAGATGTGGGTTCTTGAACCGGGGTGTGTCACCATGCAGACGGGGCTGGCTCGCGCGTGCGGCTGCCATCGGCTGGGGACTCCGGGCGGGGAAAGAGGCCAGCGCGGCGCGGCCTCTGCTCCGCGGGCCGGATCCCGGAGGCCACGCGCGCGCCTCGAGAGGGCGGCGGCCGCACCACGGAGACCCGATTTTCGGGTGACGATGCTCAGAACACGAGTGAAGGCTTCTGCGCCACACCGAGCGCCGACCTCAAGGGGCAGTCGTCTGGGGCTCCGGGTTAGGAGATCCGGCGGGTAACTTAACCGCCGCGCAGGGCTTTGACTGCGGCGAGATGCCAAGCTTTCCCCGACGAGCCGCGCCTGCTCGTGCGGGTCGACTGCAGTCGGGGTTCCCGCATGGCAGGGCCTGTGTGAGGTGCAGGGCCGGTTCCCCCTGCAGGAAGGCCGCCCGCTCTGGAAGGTGACATTCCCAGTGAGGGTCTTCTTCCTTACGGGCGTGGACACCCTAGGGGTCGGCAGCCCGGCTGGAGGCCTCAACCCCGAGTCTGAGGTCGGAGATAACATGCTGGTCCGTGATCACATCAACTTACCCGGCCTCGGTGGTGTGAACCGCTCACAGGGCGCAATGACGAAGGGCTGGACTTCGTGTCCCTGCCGTGTCCGATGCCTATGACCGGGATGTGCGGCGAAGGCTCACAGGGCCTGGAAACAGATGGGGGAGCAGAGGGCGCGGGAGGAAGGCATCTGTGTGATGGTGGCCCGGCCTGAGACTGGCGGAGCGTTGGCTGCTGCGGAAGCTGGGGGGATGCTGCTGGTGTGAGCACAGTACCAGAAGTTGTAGTTGCAAGGCACTGTGGACGTCAGGTCTTTGGCTTCTCCCTCATCACTCACAAAGTCGTCTTGGATTAAGGAGCCAAGGAGAAGGTCAGTCCTGAGGAAGCTCTAGAGCCGGGACACAAGCAGCACAAAAGTTGCAATGGTTTGTCTCTGTTCTCATGACCAGTATTCCCCCGCCCGCCAAAGCCAGCTAACCAGCCCTGGAGTGGTCTGGCTTCTCCACGATGGGATCCAAGTAGCTACTACATGCTTCGGCCCCTTGCTGGGGTCACGTGCCTCTGCCCTTCAGTAGTAGGAGAAGAGAGAGGACGATCCCTATCCTTGACCTTCCCATTTCTCCCACCAGACCCTCTGCACTGGCTCTTTTGCTCAGTTATCTCAAAGCAGTTATCATCTCCTCCCGACGACCCCCAAGGGCTAGAGCCCAAGCCCTGCTGTGTCTATGCCCTGGGAGTGACTGGGGCTGTTGGACTTGGTGCAGTAGCTACTGCTGTCCTTTTGATGTAACGCTTTCCCATTCCTGGGGACTCGGCTCTGCCTCCTCCAAAGCACTAGAGCCCACATGAGGGCCAGCCCAGTCCAATAGCCCTTGGAGTTTTGTATTACCCTATCTTGAGAATAAAAAGGAAGATTTAAAAAAAAAAAAAAAGACAACAGTTCTTCCCAAAATTGAGCAATAGATTCACTGCAACCTAAATAAAAATCCCAAGAGTGCATTTTTGTGGAAAATGACAAACTGATTCTGAAATTTATTTTGCAGTGTAATTCTTAGCCAATAGCCAAGACTTGTGAAAGGCAAACTTTTATCCTTTTATCAGTAATTTTGGACAATATTTGTACCCTAAGGTTAAGAAAGGATTTCTCAAGACACCAAAAAAGGTTAATTTTTAAAATTTTTTCTGATAAATTCAACTAGATTAAAATGAATTTCTTTAATCATATTCACCATAAAAAAGGGAAAATACACTTTTCTCATGACTTGAAAAAAGATATTTTGAACACATACACTTGGCAAATAATTGTCAGCTAAAATATTTTAGGTTGAGGGCGGCTGGCTGGCTCAGTTGGTTAAGCGTCCAACCCTGGATTTCGGCTCAGGTCATGATCTCAGAGTTGGGAGATCCACTCCTGCATCAGGCTCTGCACTGATTGTGGAGTCCGCTTAAGATTCTCTCTCTCCCTCTGCCTCTGCCCCTCCCTCCCCCATTCACGCTCTCTTTAAAATATATATATGTGTG